GCATAACGCCCATTTGCAGATCCTACGTGCTGTCATGCAGGATAAGACCGATGAGACACGCTGCACAGTGCTGAATGGGAATCGGCTTGTGGAAGATATCTGTGCAAGGAAGATCTGGATACTTTGCAAGCGAAAACGAGGACAGGTGTAAGATGTTATATACGTTGACCAAAGGGCCGGAGGAGTGGGAAGGCCTGAGGGGACGCATTGCGAAGCCGTTGTTGCAGGAGCATTGTGTTAGGGATGAAGGGGAGAGTTTGGTGCTTATTTGTGGACCAGAGGCATTGGAGAAGGCGGCACACAAGGCATTGGGTGAGTTGGGGTGGAAGGACGAAGAGTTGATGTTTTTCTAAATCATTGGGTTAGTCTTCTTCGTTTCGGACTTTTTTGTATATATATTTTTCTCTTGTTGTATCTTGCTCGTAGCATGAGTACACGAAGTGGGATGAGCCACTCAGAAGCAACGTTATTGAATTGAACGATACCAAACGATTGCAGCAGTCAAAGTCAAAGACACCGAGACATGTTTTCTACGCCTTACTTCTCCAACGTTAGACGCCAGTGTGTGCCGACAACCCCAAAAAACCGCGAAGTTCGTACGCGACCCCAAATTTCCCAAATCACCAAGCGTCGCATCTCGATCTCACACCACCCCCTCCCGCCCTTAGCACATCTTCGATACAATGACATGCTCCCGGAGACCTAACAATGTCACTCTGCATCTCCGTTGCCCACCTGCTCCTGATAACGAAGCGAGACCAACCCCTGTTGCCAAGAAGATTAGTTCACGATAAGGAAGACATGCGAACCCATGAGCCACATCTTTCTAATCTCCACGGAGAACGCACATTCAAACCCACAGCCGCAAAAAGTGATTGTGATTGTACGATATGAGAAATGTCATGCGTGTGATTCGATACAGGTTATATCCAGGCCCCGCGCGCCGCTGACGTGTGAGCGTTGTGCAAGGTAGCTAAGTCATTTTGGGCGGTTCGCGACGCGGAGGGAGTGTGTGTGATGCATTTCCGTCGCGTCCGCGGGGTATCTGTTTCTTTGGGGGTTTTGTGGATGCGATTGGGAGATTGGGGTATCTTTGATGAACCGCCGCGGGCGGGCAAGGATTGTGGGTTGTACGGTAGAGGCTGATGTGCGATTTAGGCGTGGCGTTGTGGGTGATTGTCGGGGTTGGTTGTACATGCCACGGAGTTAGGTTGTTTTCTGTGTATCTTTCGCCTTGGAACCTATTGAGCCTTGTCGTGTGCTTTCTGCTTCTTCACTTCTCTTTTGATCTTCCGATTATAGCGGAGGCGTAGTTTATCGTGCCCTCTTGATTGAGTGTAAGACTGGTTGCTTGCTACGCGTATCAATTCATCCTGCTATCGATATCCCAAGGCCGTAGAGATCTCGCCAGATATACGCAACATGGCAGAGACAGAGCCGATTGTCACAGAGGGCATCGAGCCTTCATCTGGCGAATCACACTCACCACCTGGCGAACGACACATCACAGCAACATGGGGATCAAAAGACGGGAATATATCAAATGCGCAATGGAACGACGCAGAAGCTAATAAGCTGCCTGAGAAGGTGGCTGATCTAGAGAGGAAGGGGGAGATACATGATCAGCACCCCAGAAAGAGGATCGTGGTTGTAGGACTTGGTATGGTTGGCATTGCGTTCATGTAAGTATCGAGGCGATTGAATGCGAGAGAAAATATTCTAACACAGTGAAGCGAGAAACTCCTCAAATACGATGTTAAGCGGAGAGAGTACGACATTGTAGTCATCGGCGAAGAACCTCACCTTGCATATAACCGTGTTGGCCTGACGAGTTTCTTCCAACACCGAAAGGTTGAGAATCTATATCTAAATCCTCAAGAATGGGTAAGCAGTATTGAGTTTCTGTAACGCGCTTACGACTAATTTTGGGTTAGTATGCATCCATGCCAGAAGGCTCGTTGAACTACCACCTCAACACGCTCGTTACGGAGATCGACTCGGTCAACAAGAATGTAAAGACTTCGTCTGGACAAACAGTATCCTACGACATCCTGGTTCTAGCAACGGGATCCGATGCGCTACTTCCCCGACACACACCCGGCCATGACGCGAAAGGTGTCTTTGTATATCGCACCATCGAAGATCTACAACGACTGATTGAATTCTCGTCAACGCGGAAAGGCACGACTGGCACTGTTGTAGGAGGCGGTTTACTTGGTCTGGAAGCCGCACATGCGATGATGGATCTTGAGGATTTTGCCAAGGTGAAGCTTATTGAGAGGAACCGGTGGGTGCTGTCGAGACAGTTGGATGGTGATGCGGGTGGTATGGTTGTTGAGCAAGTCCGGGCTTTGGGCTTGGATGTCATGCTCAGCAAAAGAGTGGGCAAGATTGTGACCACCGAGGATAACTTTGTCAAGGGTGTGGTGTTTGAGGATGGCGATGAGATGGAGTGTTCTTGTATTTGTTTCGCTGTAAGTGATTTCCAGCGTAGGTTTGGCTGTGAGGACTAACATGTGAAGATCGGCATCAAATCACGGGACGAGCTGGCACGGAAAGCTGGCATCAAGTGCGCGGACCGAGGGGGTGGTATTGTTGTTGGAGGGGATTTGGCGACCTCACAACCTGGTATCTACGCAATCGGCGAGTGTGCAAGCTGGGAGAACCAAACTTTTGGCCTTATTGCACCTGGTGTGGAAATGGCAGACGTCCTCGCCTTCAATCTCACCCAAGCGAAAGCACATGCGCCCAGGAAGTTCAAGGCCCCAGATCTCAGCACAAAGCTCAAGTTGCTTGGAGTCGAGGTCGCTAGTTTCGGCGACTTCTTCGCGGACCGCGATGGACCAAAGAATATGCCTGGTAGGCAGAGGGCTGAGAAGAAGGAAGCAAATGGAACGAGTACCAGAGACCGCGTGAAGAACCTGACGGACGGACCCGCACCACCGCCAGTCAAGGCGCTCACATACAAGGATCCGTTTCAGCAAGTGTACAAGAAGTACCTCTTTACCATGGATGGAAAGTACCTGCTCGGCGGCATGATGATCGGTGACACGAAAGACTACATCAAGCTTGTACCGATGGTGAAGAACCAGAAACCACTCGAGATGGCACCAAGCGAACTTATCGTTGGTGCAAAAAAGGGTGACGATGATGGTTCAGATCTGTAAGTCATCAAAGCAAAATAACATGTGAGTAAACTAACGATGTTCAGTACCGATGACACTCAGATCTGCTCTTGTCACAACGTCACCAAAGGAGACGTAGTCAACGCGACCAAGGACGGAACATGCAAGAGCATCGGCGACGTCAAGTCATGCACCAAAGCCGGGACGGGATGCGGTGGCTGCATGCCTCTAGTTCAGACGATTTTCAACAAGACCATGGCTTCCATGGGTAACGAGGTCAAGAACCACCTATGTCCGCACTTTGAATACTCGCGTGCGGATCTCTTCAACATTATCTACATTAAGGGTCTCAAGAACTTTGCATCCGTCATGAAAGAAGCTGGAAAGGACCCCAACTCCTTGGGATGCGAGGCCTGCAAACCTACCATCGGAAACATTGTCTCCTCGCTATACAACAAGCACCTACTAGAGCTCAACAACCGAGGTCTTCAAGATACCAACGACAGATTCTTGGCAAATATCCAGCGTAATGGCACGTTCTCCGTCGTTCCCCGCGTTTCTGGTGGAGAGATCACCCCCGAGAAGCTCATTGTTATCGGCACGGTGGCGAAGAAGTACAATCTGTACACCAAGATCACCGGCGGTCAGCGCATCGACATGTTTGGCGCGCGGAAGCAAGATCTCCCAGATATCTGGCAAGAGCTCATTGACGGTGGTATGGAGTCAGGTCACGCATATGCCAAGTCACTGAGGACAGTCAAGTCATGTGTGGGTACTACGTGGTGTCGATTTGGTATCGGCGACAGTGTAGGCATGGCGGTACGCCTAGAAGAGCGCTATAAGTCCATCCGAGGACCGCATAAGATCAAGGGAGGAGTCTCAGGTTGCGTACGGGAGTGCGCCGAAGCGCAAAACAAGGACTTTGGTCTCATCGCTACCGAGAAAGGGTTTAACATCTTTGTCGGCGGCAATGGCGGCGCGAAACCACGACACTCTGAACTTCTGGCCAAAGACGTACCGCCGGATGACGTAGTACCCATTCTAGACCGTTATCTCTCCTTTTACATTCGCACGGCCGATAAGCTCCAGAGGACGGCGCGGTGGATGGAGAATCTCCCCGGCGGCATCAAGTACCTCCAAGAAGTCATCCTGGAAGACAAACTCGGTATATGTGCCGATCTAGAGAAGCAGATGGAAGACCTCGTCGGCACCTTCTTCTGCGAATGGACTGAAGTCCTCAAGGACCCCAAGAAGCGTTCTTGGTTCTCTCAGTTTGCAAACACATCAGAAACCATCGTCGACACCATCGAGCCGACCGAAGAGCGAGGCCAACAACGCCCATCGTACTGGCCCAAAGACAGCATCACAGAAGATTTCAGAGGCACAAAGTGGACAGAACTCTCCTGGCAGCCGCTCGTCAAGGCCGACGAGTTCAAAGACACCGACACGGGAGACAGCAAAGCCATCAAGCGCGGCGACACCCAACTCGCCGTCTTCAAGGTACGTGGGAAATATTACTGCACACAACAAATGTGTCCGCACAAGCGCGCCTTTGTCCTCTCCGACGGCCTCATCGGCGATGACATAGCCAACAACAAACTATGGGTCTCGTGTCCTTACCACAAGCGCAACTACGAGCTCTCGGGCGACAACGCAGGCAATTGTGCAAACGACGAGTCCGTCAACATTGCCGTGTTTCCGATTGAGGAAAGGGGCGATGGGTGGTTGTATGTCAAGTTACCCAGCGTGGAGGAGCTGGATAGTGTGCTGGGGACGAGTAAGTTCAAGATTAAGAAGAGCGAGACGGAAGATCCTTTTGTGGCGCTTGACAAGAAGTTGCAGAGGATGCAGTTGAAGGGGCGGAAGGGGATGCAGGTTTCACATCTTGAGGATGGGTTGGGGGAGAAGGGGAGGGCGGCACAGATACTCGCTGGTGGGGAGAGAGGGGCTGGTGGGCTAGACTGGTGAGGGTTTTTGATGTTTTGTATGATTCCCATCTGTAGTGATATTGAAATATGTGTACTCTTTCTAGACTTGTTTTCGATGAAGTTTTTAGAGCGAAGTCTGTAGAACGCAACATCTCACTGCTCACTGCTCACTGTAGACACCCATGTAGTCCACTACCAATGACCGGTTTCCAACTGCCAAAGATCCTGCACGCTGCCGGTAGACCGATATTGTGCTCATGGGTTAGGGATTGTGTAGAGTAGCGGCATTCGAACGCAAATAATCTTGCTGAGGAAAGTTGTTTAGCCAGGTCTGGACCGTGTATATGTGGCACCTATCACTCGATCATGCCATCGTCCTAGACTCCGGGCTAGAAACTGTAAAACATGGTCATTTGCTATTGATGTGATGGCACGTGGACTAAGCAGGTCAGCTTTGGCTTGGTGTGTTATCAACGATCTGTATCAACATACTGGGTAAAGTCGCGTGATACTTTGCATCGGAGATTAATGACAGGGTTGAAAGTCGGACTGTTATTCGTATCAATTGTTTGGTTGGGTTGTTGCACTGAGGATATGCCAATTCGAATGTCTTGTCGTCGTGACTTTGCGCGATGCTAGCACACCAGTGTGTTGGGAATTCCAATACAAACTTGCTCAACGATTTTCCCTGCTATACCCCACTCCCATCGGTCGCGTCCGTTGTACCCGCTCTTGGGCGTCATCGCCACACTAAGAACTGCGGTGGGTCAGGCGTTGGAGTGAAGGACCAGGTCAGTGGAAAACCTTCACCGATAAGCATGTCATATTGGTCATGAGACTGACTTGGTGTAGTGCTATGGGAGCACTTGCACAGCTTGTCTTAGTAAAAAAGCGTCGTGTGGACTATACGTCTCAGGCGGCAAGAAGCCAGCGGCAGTGTTTTCAGCGAACAGTTGACAGCCGTGAACCCACTGTAAGGCAGCAGGGTGGAGAAGGCCGGCCTAGAATGCAGGCATTTTTGAGATATCGGGCGCAGTAGGTGTCTGAGCTAGGGCTATCGCCAGCACGGCAGCCTTAGCATTGACATTGCCCACCAACACAGGAAACATGCTATACCAGAAGCGGGACCCCGTAGTGCCGAATTGAATCCTATCAACACCTAATCTACGGCCATAGTCGTGGAGGCAGGGCTTTATCAATGCCTAGTTTGTGAAACCAAGGGATACGACAGTGACCCATATCTGGCGAGGCGGGTGCGACTCCCATTAGCCAGAGAATATAAAACGTGGACTTGGTCCCTCCGTGCTATACTAATCATCTATCGATCATGATATCACTAGTTTGCTAAGAGCTGCTGCGGACATCACTCACAACTCAGCCCAGGCTGACTGCCAGCTACACACATAGTACACACAGCATGGCAGACCGCCTCGTACTGTTGTGACAGCGTGGCAAAGAGTCCATCATGCTTGCAGGAGAGGCTTGATGGAGGCGATGGAATCAAGGGAATGTCGCTGACCATCAACTCATGCGATGTGGCCTTGATGCGACGGGCTTTCGCACTCGAGAGATGACAGTGTAGGATCAGAGAGCCAACACCGCGCGCTCTATGACCAGGGGGAATGATCTGACAATTTTCCGAGAGACATTGACTCGTCGAGTGTCGGCCCTCCAGCATCGCACGAAAGCGTAGCACACTTCACACCGCTGATTGGGTGTGCAAGCTAGATGGTTGATAGATTCTACTGGATCTGCTGGCTTCGCAACCAAGTGCCGTGACCATAGACTGACGTGTCCAGAAAGCTAACGAGTGTGACGATTTTGGTTGGATGAGTATGTGTTGGAGTACTCTCAGCGTCTTCGAAGCAAACATTCTTCGTGTCGTGTAACATTTTGTGGTAGCGAAGGGATCCGGAAGGGACGGCATGATTTTAACCTGAGGCTGTGTGTAATGATAGTCTCACCGGTAGTTAGTGTATATATGCTCTGGCTTCCGGGTCCGCTCTCGGGTTTGTGAGAAATCAGCTTCCATGCAAACTGCAACCAGTCGATATACTCTTCGATAATTCGGCAGTATCAACTCCCACCCTACGTCATTTTGGAAATATGGAAGCCATCAGAGTTCAGATCGATGGTTACAGACCGATGCGAGTGAACGCACACACTTTTCACGCTTGGTTCCCCACGACAATGCGACAGCCACATGGTGGTTGGATGAACGTTGAAACGGTTATCGACAACGCCGAGGAACATTTCAACGGTCGCTACGGAATAACCAGACGTCAGATCGAACGAACTCTCCATCTCTTGTTCGAAACTTTCGCATCTTCTCATGGTTCGTTGAGAGGAGCCACGCGAATGAACCTAGTCCAACAGTTGTTGTCGCAAATACAAAACGAAGCACATAACCAGATCTGGGCCCCGAAAGACCTTCGCTTTGTACGCCACGCGTTCATCATTCTGACGTACCTGGCGTTGCAGTTCAATTCTGACCTACTGGCCAAAGCGCTACGTACCTTTTGGTCCCAAGCCGAGCCTATCGTGAGTCAATACGAACAGCCGCATCATGGGGAAGAGTGGTATAGGGCCGCGGCAAAGATTGAACAGTTGAGTGACCCGAACCCGTACGCAGCATGGTCACGCAACGGAGCCTCTCGCAACCTGGAACTGCCTTGGCCTCGCCATCGAGCACGATCAGCACCGGCAGTGCGTCATCGACTCCACCATCCGGAGATGCGACTCACCATACCCACTTTCACGAGTTCAGCGTGGGCATCGCCGATTATATCGCCAGTGACGTTTCCGAGGGTTGATTACCTTGATGAACTCGAGAACATGCAGTATCAACAGCAAGAGATGAGCATGAAGTTGGATAATGTGGACGAGAAGCTCGATCTTCTGATGACTGGATTCTTCTGAATGATGATCGGGACAAGGTTGGTGTAGGAAAGAGAGACGCGTCTGCTTGGGCGACCAGTCGTTCGTCGTGACAAGAGAATATGCGAGGAATGGCTATGTATGTAGTCTACTGGTGTCTTGATTTGTCTCGAGAGTATTATTGTCATGACGATATGAAATGTAAGTAATTTCGGTTGTTCAGAGGGATCATGCTGGTCTCCCAATAATCGCTGCAGGTTTGAGCGTAGCGGCTCCACGATATGTCACTTTTCACCACGGCCAACGCGAAACTCACTTAGCGAGTTTAGTTGTGCTGGATCGTAATATCCTATTTTGGTCGATGCTTATGTATCGAAGACTCTAGATTTATTCTGGGATCTTGCTTCTGCAACGTTCGAGATGCAACTCTCTTTGCTATAAATGAATAACAATAGTTATTAGCTCATTGCTTTCCATGATTGATCTGACTTCGTACCATTGCATTTCATCAAGACGACTGAGACACACATGTCTGGTGACGCTTGATGATGCTGCAAGTAGATATGATTAGATTGACATACCACAACACGATCTGAAAGCTGTAGTGTAAGCAGAAGAAGATGAGACAGAGCCTTGTCCAAATCGATGTGGAAGTTGACTTTCAAACGCCCTATGATATAATACGCCATACGCCTCGCTAATCCACATGCCCCCTACCTGGTACGTCTCTGGGCTCATGTCATAGCATGGCCTCTCAGCGAAGGAAATGTATAACTAGCCAGCAGAACAAGAAGAAGATGACCACACCAGCCCAGAAAATCCACTTGTCTTGCTTCGCTCTCCTCTCCACCATGCGTATCGTATCTCCACTAATACCGAGTGTGTTCGCAACAGTGTACAGCCTCTTTTGGGTGCCTTTTAACATATCTCTTTGCTGGCCGAGATCGCCCAAGACAGCCCTTCCTCTGTCCAAGAACTCATCGAGCTGTTCCGAAGTCTTGTTGAAAAAGGTGTTCTCTCTCAGCACGTGCCCTTCGCGGTCGTAGTCCCCTCCTTGCGGTGCGCCGGCCGAGTAGGGATTGGGTCGGTAGGGAGCGTTGGGGTTGTATGGCTGTGAAGGGGCGAAGGCTGAATGTTGTGCAGCAGCTGCGGTCAGATTGTGTTGTGCGTACGGGTTTTCGGGCGTGGCTGTGTTGTGTGGACGGCGACCCAAGAGTTCTGTACGGGCTTCTGTGGTTTGCTATGCATGCCGTTAGTCAAGCACGTGAAGAGTGCGTGATGCGCCGGCTATGAACATACAATGTCCTCATTCGCGCTCTTGATCCGCTTGAAGCTCGTCCGGTACTCTTCAAGCTCAGCCCGGAAGTTCTTCAGTCTCTCTTGTGCCTTTTCAGCCTTTGTCTGGACAGGCTCCTGCTTCGCGAGCTTGCCATAGTCGTCAATAGTACGCGCGAACGAGGTAAGGGAAGCGTTGAGCTGGGCTTGTAGATGTGGCGAGGGCGATGCGGCGTCAGCAAACTGGTCCAGGTCTTTCCGTATCGACGTCGATTGCCGCAACGCTGAGTTGAAGAGGGCGTTCTGTTTGCGACGTGAGTTTGCATTTGTATATGCATGGGGTGGCGCAACAAACCATTGCAGATACTACAGCGGTAGCTAGTCTTCGTGGATGTACATGTACCGAATTGTACACAGATAGGCGGCCCAGACAGACTTCTGCAATTGACACATTGCATCATCGCGAACTTGTCCGCTCGGTGAATTAACCCGCCAAGACCACTAAGACTATTGGGGTTAACGCCACACCAGAACCCCGACGCTCATCCAGACGACCCACAAACGCCTTCCTTCCCCAGCTTCACCTTGCTGGTGGAGACATCAATTGACAAGAGAGCTGAGTCCTTAATAATGCCCAGTCAGACAGTGCGAACAAGTGTAATGCCATCATCGGATAACATCCAGCGCACCCGCCTCTCTTGTTCACATCATGGCTCTCATATCGTCATTGCGCAAAGCACTTCCTTATCGTCCCAGTCCTGTTCTGTTCGTCGCCTAAGGTTAGCAAAATCTTGTTGTTGACGTCGTCATGTCCAATGCACCTGCCTATCTCGGCAATTGTAAGCCCTGGTCTTCACCTGCCGTGCCGTCTATCAACTGCATCGACAAAAGACATGGTAAAGCCGCGTGAAGCGAACTCATCTGAGCCCATCTTGCTAACTGCTCTGGGAAGCTCATTGAATGTCGGCTGCGATCATGCGCGTTCATGTCATAATTTCTCATCTGTCATGCTCGGGTACAGCGATTACGCAACACTATAAGAGTTGGACTACGCAGAAAATCATGCCAAGGATGAGGTTTCTTCTTCACATCATTAGAAATGTTATTTCGATCAGCACTGCTCAGTAATGTACTGCTTTTGCCCGCATGCGCACACGACGTTCTCTTCAGTCGCGACCTGCCATTGCCGATTGCAGCCAATGCCGAATCCTATACCGACTGTGCGAATGCCGCCTGGCCACCGTCGAATGTGGGTGTTGAGCTTGTGCCACAACCTCCAGATGACGAACTACGAGCCATGGTCGATGAGATGAGCGCCGAGAACATCGAAGCTACCATCACCAAGTTGGTGTCATTCGGAACACGCCACACGCTGTCTACCTTCAACAGCTCAACCCGCGGTATCAATGCAGCACGTGATTGGATTGCCTCTGAGATGCGAAAGTATGCTGCTGAGAGTAACGGCACAATGACGGTCGAGGTCCAAAGTTATGTTCAGGGAGTGGCTAGCCGGATACCATTTCCCGTCACCATTTCCAATGTCCTAGCAAAGGCCACGGGAAGTGAGGATCCCAGTAGGGTCTACGTTATGACCGGGCACTATGACAGCAGAGTCACGGATGTGCTCAACTACGAGTCCGATGCTCCTGGTGCCAACGACGATGCCAGCGGCACAGCCAGTATGTGCCGCCCATTTACCCACGGTAGCTCAGTGACTGACTCCAGACAGTTGCCATGGAACTTGCGCGCGTTCTAGCCAAGCACCAGCCCAAGTCCACCATCATCCTGGGTGCCGTGTCTGGTGAGGAGCAGGGCTTGTACGGCTCGACGTATCTTGCCCAGACACTAAAGAATACTAGCACGAATGTGGAAGGAATGCTCAACTGCGACATTGTTGGCTCTTCTACTGGCGACCGAGGCCAGAAGGACCCTTTTACTATACGCGCCTTTGCCCAGGGCCCTCCTCCACTTTCTGCCGAGAGTAGCGCCAAAGCGGCACAGCGTCTCCAGATTGGTGGCGAGAACGACAGCCCCGCCCGAGAACTTGCGCGATTCTCTGCCGAGGTTGCTGCCAACAATGCCACTGGCATGAAAGTTGCTATCATCTACCGTCTCGATCGTTTCCTGCGCGGCGGCGACCATACGGGTTTCTTACAAGCCGGATATCCAGCTATTCGCTATACCGAGCCCAACGAGAACTTTGCCCACCAACATCAAGACATCCGCACTGAAAACGGAACTGTGTATGGCGATCTTATAGAGTTTGTCGACTTTGATTTTACAGCGCGCGTAGGAAAGGTCAACCTCGCAACCCTGTGGTCTCTTGCCCAAGCACCTGCTATGCCACGTAATGTTACCATTGATGCAACTATCCTGGACAATGAGTCGCGCATCAAATGGATTATATCCAACAGCACCGATGTAGCAAGTTACGAAGTCGTATGGCGCTCCACTATCGCGAGTTTGTGGACTCACATGCTCGATGTGGGCAAAGTGGGATACGTCGTCCTTCCGCTTAGTAAAGACAATGTCATCTTTGGCATTAGAGCTGTTGGAAAGAATGGATACAAGAGCCCAGCGGTATACCCATTCCCTGGGTAAAGTGCGCAGATGCAGGGAATGTCTGTCAACAGTCAAAAAGTCCGTAAACAGCCGTAGCTCGGAACTTGTTGCTGCTGCTAGCAGTCGTTGCTTCCCGTTTATATAGCTTGGCAACATCCCGTGCAATCCACCTTCTATCTCATTGACAATGCCTGCCCCAATCACAGAGTCAAAAGACCGGAAACAGTCGCGCTCGGTAACCCCTGATGTTGTTAGCAGGTGCTGCTTCCAGGTTACATTGCTTGGCAGCATCACTCCACCTTCCAGCTGGGTGACACTGCCTGCACCAGGGACACATCTCTTAAGCACATCAACCAAGCTGTGTCTACTTCACTTCAGTCCTACCATCACTTGCTTGGACACACATTGTGACAAACATCCATCACTACCATCGTTTCACAGCAGTTTTCGACATGTCTAGCACCGTGCCCTCCAACGACATGGCTGATGAATGTTCAGCTTCAACAAAGGCTGGTGATAAGCCCACATCGTTATCAGAAGATGCCATCAATACAGAGACTAGCGACAAGTCTAAATCGGTATCAGACACTGTCGCTGAGACGGAGACTAGCGACAACCCCGAACCACCATCAGAAGACAGGTCCAAATCGCCATCAGAAGCCGGTGGTGATGCAGAGATTGGCGAAATCAATGAAGAGTCAATGGCGAAATTGTCATTAGGCTCGGACAACGAAAGCGCTTGCCATCCAGATCTCGATACCCCTCCAGATCTCGCTACCGTCACGGAAAGTCTCATAGGTCTACCCAAGCAGATTATCAAACGCTATTACGGCAATCGCATTCGCTTCTTTACTGACTATGCTGGCATCCGGCATAGTCTGGCTTGGGCTGTCAAGATAGACGACGTCATCCAACCCTTCGCTATTCTCTTTCTTACACCACCCGACGGCAGACTTGAGATTGAAATGAAGGACGAAGATGACATACCCGTCGATGGTTTACCAGCCAATGTCATACGTACTGAGAAACTTCAAGATCTGGCCCTCGAGGTACAGAACGAACACGGTTGTAAACGCGTTGGCTTCTATGACGGCAAACGTTTCATCTGGGCTACTTGCAATCCACAACCAGGCATTGGAAAGGGCCCTATGACGCCCGATGGTCGTCCATTGATGTATTCCCATGGACCAGATATATTTCGCTCGCAACTTTTGCTCTGCTTGGCCGAGGCGATGGATGGGATGGGTGTTAAGATGCTGGAACCACTCAAAGGATATACACTGGAAAATTCGAGACTGGCAGGGTTGGGGCTTGGTGTTCCACGAAAGAAACCCGATGGGCATTTCGATTTCGATGGTGCTAAACTGATGAGCGGCCACATCAACATTGGTGAATGTGTCTTCAGAGCATATGCTAGAGAGAATGGCGACATCATGGAAATCGACGATCTCCCTCTGCCGGAAATCGAAGACGATATTCTCACGACATCGCTTGGTGTGCGCATTGCAGCTAGAGAACCCCTGCTGGACCTGTTGGGTGCGGTCGCGAAATCATGGATGGGCTATGAGCTCAAACACAGCTATGATATCATCCCCGACGCACTCACCTGGTATGTCCGCGACCAGAATCGATCTAAGCTATACGTCGCAATCCTACAACTTGCGCCTGCTGGAACGATCGTAGAGCAGGACTGGGGGATGATTAGAGCGGACCTGACTTACGACAATAACAACGAGGGCATTGTGCGTACGGCGGCGCCACTTCGCGACGAAATGCTGATTCTTGGCCAGCAATACAACTGCTCTCACATGGCCTTATTTGATTATCGTGGCTTCGTGACTGTATCGAGAAGCTCCAACGCAGCGTTCATCTCAAGCGTAACATTCGCCAAAGAACCCCAAATTGCTAGTAGGGCAGTACAGTGGTTGGTCACTGCTTTTGCCGACTTGGAATAGATTAATCAATAATGCTTCAATGATGATACCTACCCGCGCATGTGAATGTCTTGTACCCTGAGGGCCACCTGGGTCAAGTGATATACTTGACATACTACATATACATATAAAGGATTAATTGATCACTGTATCTGCCAGGCAAGCCTGATCATTCAAGTTTCAGCAAGGTTTAACCACACTGTCGCTGTCAAGCCACAGCTATCGAGGCGGCCAAGTATGACTGCACCCGAGCGTTCACGCTTGTCAGTGAACTTGGCTTTGTTCTGAATGCGGCTAGACCATGGATTTGCCAGGTGGTCCTTGCAACAGCTGCGTACCTGATCTGGGATTCTCAATGTCTGCACTGCATCAGGTCAGGTAATGGGTGTGGTCCCTCATGACTTTGCACTCGCCCGGATGACATGAGGTAGTTGAGATACTGGTGTACGACGGTCACCGTATGCACCAGGCGCGTCTACTAGGTGCTTACCCATACTGTGAAGTATATCCTGTCACCCACGTGCACCTGAAGATGCCAACCAAGTTTGTGGTGGGGCTCGTTCCGATTCCGATTCCGCGTCGCCTTCGCCCCTGCTGTCTCCTCGGCGCCGAGCCTGGCACGGAGGTAAGTTACCATGGAAAACTTGACATTGTTGCTACATGGAATCTACGTCGACTTTCTCCCTTGCCAGTGCATCACACCGTGCTAAGTTTTTATCGTATCCCCCGTGTCGGGAGGCTTCGGCACGGTCCCTACGCTAACTATTCCTGCATCGTCCGTGCCGGTTCATCGGAGCGATGCGAATCTCATTGCACGCACACGTTTGCAACATGTGCACCCCACAGATGACTTCGCCCTCATTCTTTTTTGCTTCCATTTTTAGCTTTTGAGTAATGACACCTGTGGGGGATACAAGATTGATCCATGCTGCAATCTCAGGAACCGCGACATCTGCCCTTCATCATTTTGAACGCCTTCTGCTCGTATCACAATCGAGTGGTCATTTCACGAGCTAGCTGGTAAGCTGGCGATCGCAACAGTCGAGCAAAGCAGATATGACCGTGCGACAGACGTCATTTCCCCCTGACCGCCACTCGGCCACTGAATCCTGAAGCCCCGGAACCATGTCTTCCTAGGCTGGTGGCGATTGAAAGACATTGGGAACGAAGACAGCTAACGTCCGTTCTCCTCCCCATCCCTCATATTTGCACCGGCTCAACCGGGCTACTCACTCTGCATGAAACTTACTCAAATATAGCCGTCATTCGGTCCGCTGTAGTTGGAGTGTGGCAAGTGCTCCGTATTCGTGTTGGCTCCACGTTCGTGTGCTTGCCGCAAAGCGTTGAATCGGTTGGCGATCTCGGAAATCTCGGCGCAACGTGACGTGAAATCCTGACTTTTCCGCTCGCGTTACTATTTTTGATCTGTCGACCGGACGACAATGTCTTCTAGAGCTTATCATTATCACATGTGCTTGGCACGAAGATAGATTATATGAGGTACTCATCCTCCCCAGCTGCTGTCACCGCCACTTCCTCTCCACACACCACCCAACCTATTCAGACTTCTTGACCTTTGACCAACAAACAACAACACATCTAACAATGGTTCACTTCTCCGCGCTCGCTCTTTTGGCGGCTTCCGCAATCGCTGGCCCTGTCTACCGCCGGGCCGCAGTCCCCGAGTGTTGGGACTGGGAGGTTGAGAACATGGAGTCTGGTTGCGGCCGTCACGGCTGCTCTTACTATTTCAACGTCACCGTACCGGACTTCGATAGCCCTAACGGCGAAGTTGCTGGCGTGAAAGCGCTTTGCAACGGATACGAGCAGGGATACGACAGCGGATTCACTGTCCCTTCGACCTTCGAGCTATGCAAGACGATTGAGGGATCCGGACTTCAAGTTGCAGCCAGGTTCTCGCTGAGACCACAAAACGATACCAGCACTTTCCCTCGCACCTTCCAAGTCAGTGTCCTGGAACCTCCTTCCAACGGAAAGTAAGCTACCCCACCCCTCAAATCGTTAACAAGATCGTGGACTGACTTGGTGAAATTTTCAGACTTGGCTACAACTATACCGCTACCCACAAAGTCACGTACAACTCGGCCGTCGCGCCTCCACTCAACTTCACCATTACTCCATCCGAGGTCTCTTCGACCAACGATACCACTCTGGTCAACCGTCCCCCAACTTGGTTTTAGAAATATCCTGATATTCTTGTAATCCAACGCTTGTTACTTATCTTAATTATGCGTTGTTACTCTACAATAGTTGCAACTACTTCAATTCGAATCTAACCCCCGGGCCTTTCTGACCGGTGGGTATTGGGACATTAAATACACCAGAAAGTGCAAATTTGACAGTTCGTTCATAAAACACTCGTCCCAAGTCGTCGAAAATCGTTATCAGGATGTTGGCGCTGTCACCGGTGTTCCTCACAAATGAATCTAGTGCGAAGGTAAGGAACTCCGTACCCATCGTGAGAGTAAACCTGGCTGCTCCTAGTTGGTAGGTGGTGCCGAACCGGTTTATACAAGACAAAGGGAGATCTCGGAAGGCCCTGTATAGTTATTAGCTTTGCCCGAGACGGGCCACTGTGCACGAGCCCGTATATTGTCTGTGATCTGCAATCGATAAGAATCAAGCCAGCTTGATCTGCTTGTTGACATCTCTGGTATACCGTTTGTGAAGAGACCGTCCTTGCACGTCCGCTGCAATCCCTGGAAGGCCGGCTTCGGCTTCGGCTTCGAGGGATCGCTTTGGCCAGTTCTTCAGGTCCTCAGGGCAACCATCGGAATGGTCGCCACCGGTCCTCCTGCAGCAGGAGCCCTGTGCTCCGGGGTTTGAAGTGCAACTGTCATGGAATTCTTTACCATCAATTGCGTACTGAGTGGATGTACACTAATGGTTCCAAGGTAGTCAGAAAAGCGTGCTACCAAGTGGAAAGGAAAGAGGGAGATTTACCCATCTGTCGTTTGCTACACATCGTCAGCTGAGTTCCTATATCGAAGTATGACTGTTGTACGTACCAATATACCTAAAATTGTTCTTCATGTTTCAGCAGGCATTACCGGTAACACACCACGCTCTCCCTCCACCATTTATGCATATGCATTGGTCCCAGTCGTCTGCCCAAACGGGCACAAGCATGGATATCAGCGAGACAATACTCGTCCAGATAGCAGTGGACCTCATAGTAGGGTGCTTGAGACGGCAAAGAGATGGATTCGTTGTTGATCTGCCAGTGGTAGTAGAAATGAAATGGCAATGGAAGAGTACCTCACCTCGAAGGCAAGTCGTGGGTCCTTTATACACAGTGCAGTGAATGTGCAAACGTAACAGTATCCAGTCCCAGCACCACTGAGTCGCCGCTTCTTGCTAAGAAGGAGACTAGCTGTCGTCATCAACAAGCCTAAAGAAAGAGATTTACATGGAAAGATAATCACTTTGGATGTAACCACGAGTCTACGGTAACATCCAGCGTAAAATTCGGCCTCACAACCACCGTAAGCTGTACATCGATCGAAAATCACCAACATTAGGTCTTACATGTTCACAGTGCATGAATCGAGGCATTTGGTCTGTTGAATGATAACATCTTTGGTCGGCTCGGTGTTCAGGAGCTTTCCGTAGGAACCTAGATGAAACCACTCTCTTATGAGGGCCCATTGCACCATATATGACACCAGCATAATCCATGAATTACATGATCTTGATGAGAGCTTGCCCGAGTTTTTTTCCTCTCAAGCCACCAGCATAGTAAGTGATACCAACTCGGCCAACCAACCCGAGTTACCTGCCGCAAATCGGGAGTAAGCAACGAGAGAGCCGAGTAGCGACCGTGATCAGCGAACCCCAACACGAAAATTTTACCGCAACTTGGTAGTAAGCAATGCTAGGACCAGAAAATGACCGTGATCAGCAAACTCCAACACAAAAGGTTTACCGCCACTTGGTAGTAAGCAACCTAAGAAACAAATGATAACCGCGATTGGTATTCACTGACCACCAGCACCCACGAAGCTCTTCCCACGCCAGGTCCAACAGGTCTGAGAGAGGAGAGTCGTCGACAAATCCCTACATAATTAGGTGTATAGAGAGATAGTATCTCATTTGTAAGCTCCTACAACTAGTTACGTACTTTTTGACAATAAGGTTCTTTCATACTACACATATCTTAAAACAACCTAATAAACATGGAATTAGATATAATATAGTTATAAAATCTTGCTAACATGATCCATGGGCGAGCGGCGCACACGGGCGAGCGGCGCACCCCACCAACTTTTGCAACTTTAAAGCGATGCATCTCAACAACGCGATAATATTATTGCTAGATATTAATACAGTAGATTACTCTATATTAATAGTATCAGTCTTGCATGTGCGCGAGTTGTGCCCAGTCTCCTTGCACCTAGTGCAGCGCCTTTGAGCCCGCTGGCTAAGGCCTGATCGCGCTCCTCCTTGACGCTCTTCATGAGCAATCTGCTGGTCAGCCTCATTTTGAGCCAGTATATCCTCTCCAGCTCCCTTTGTGAGTACTCCATGCTTCTGTATACGCCTTTTAGAGCGCCGCCTACGCTCTGAGGCTGCGCTGTTGGCCTTCTCAAGACTAGAGATCCGATCGCGCATCAGCTCAGCAGAGAGCATCATCACCTCGGCGCCCTTCTTTAGCTGGTCAATCGCCATAATAATTGAAGCTGGTGATGAGCTCTTGTGCTGGCGCACGCGCTCACGTATTAGGCTTGACTGAGCCTCAAGCTCACGTACGTTGCTCGGCGTTTGAGCTACCCAGGGAGCCTCTGGCAGAGCTGCTGGAGGAGTAGGTGTACGCAGTTGTACATCTACCTTTGATAGAACAGCCTCTGGTTGTAGAGGAACAAGGCCTGCGCCGCGGAAGGCTGAGCAGATATTGGCTGGCGTGAACGCTTGATCAAATGCTGCCTTGAACGCTGGCAGAAACTCTAGCTTGGTGATGTGGTTCATGTGGTTGCGCATGAGGCTCTCCACCTCACGGCTGTACGCGCGCTTCAATGGCGAGAAGCAGCCAACATCAAGTGGCTGGAGTAGGTGAGATGAGTGAGGAGGCATACAGAGCGTATGGATATTGTTCTCCTTGCAGAGCTCCTGGAACTCTAGAGATTGGTGGCTCTTATGGCCATCAATAATAAGCAGGCGACGCGCGCCTACACTACGAGCCTGCGTGTGAGCGTTGAAGTGCTTTAGCCACTCAACTCCAAGCTCATTATTCGTCCAGCCATTATCGCTGACTGCGATCGCCCAGTCGCGTGGGATCTCAGCTTCCTTATACCAGGCTGATAGGTGGTACTGGCCAGCGAAGATGAGGAACGGTGGGACTGACCAGCCAGCAGCGCTGATAGCAGCGATCAGCGTTACCCACTCGCGATTGCCTGGCTGAATACTCTTCGGCCTGCCTCTCCTCTCTGCTCCTGTTATAACTAGCTGCGTTGTAATCTTGCCCATCATAAAGCCAGCTTCATCAAAGTTGTAGACGTCCTCATCGCAGATACCTAGCTCAGCCTTTGTCTCTTCTATAAGCTTAAACCACCTCTTTATTAATGTTGCATCCTCACAAAGAGCTCTCTGCCTATCGTACGCTTGGTTGAAACACGTCCGAAGACTGTCTGTACGCTTAACAAAGGTAGATGGCCAGTTGACTCCAACCTGCTCTCCACCACGCGCAGCCAGCAGCTTATCAGCCATATCACGTACAGCTGTGTAGGTAGGCGCAAATCCACGCAGATCTAGCTGAAGTATATAGCTGATAATCACCTCCTCTTCTCTCTGGGTAAGCTTCCTTGAGTTGGGCGGGCAATTGCGTCGGGCAGGTATACCAGCGCGTCGGCGGCGGAGCGTTGTTTCGGCTACGTTGTAGACTACTGCAGCAGTACGGGTACCTTGGATCTGGTGCGCATTAATAGATGAGATAGCAAGCTGAATATCTGCTTCATTTGATAGTAATTGAGTAGCGCTGCGTTGAGCCATTGTAGATTAAGATCAGTAAGGTGAGTAAAGTTGGTGGGGTGCGCCGCTCGCCCGTGTGCGCCGCTCGCCCGTGTGCGCCGCTCGCCCATGGATCATGTTATAACTATAAGGTGTTAAAATAATATTTTAACTACTTTTTTATACTACTACTGTTAGAACAAGGTCTCCTCTGGTGGTATGACTACCATAGGCGACCGAGTAGAGGTCCGAAAGGTAACCCTGTATTGGATTGAACTTCACTAAGAGCTATTGTTCTATCTACTTGTTGTTATGATGATCTTAGGACGTACATGACAGATCATCATTCCGCGTCGGTCCTTCTGCTCGGGCTTACTCCACGAACCTCACCTCGCCGACCTGGACTGAACCTAACATATTCTTAACACTCCCCCTCAGGGCAGGTCCGGTCCAAGGACAACTCCTAATTGGTTCTTGAATCTCTCGAATGCGACTCGCTGCAATGGCTTTGTCATTCCATCAGCCACCATGTCTGCAGTTGGAACGTAGGCCACATCGAGTTTGCCTTGTTCTGCTAGGTCTCGGATAAAATGATAACAGACGTCGATGTGCTTTGATCTTTCGTGAAGGTGAGGGTTCTTTGTAAGTGCAATGGCACCCTGGTTGTCTCCTAGCATCTGGACCTTGTTGGTGTCTTTTCCAATGTACTTTGGGAACCCAAGATCTCTAAACATTTGAGCAATCCACTGGCCTTGCTTGCAGCATGTTGATAGTGCGATGTATTCAGATTCGCAGCTTGACGTTGCAACAGACCGTTGCTTCTTGCTAGACCATGATATTGGACCTCCGTAGAACATTGCAGTGCTCCCTGAAACGCTCTTTCGGTCTACCATGTCGCTTGCCCAGTCAGCATCAGAGTAGATGACAAATTGCGAGTGTACTCCCCCTGGTCCGTAGCGTAGCTTCAATGTCACTGTCGACCTTAGATATCGTAGCAGGTTCTTCAACGCATGGCCATGGTGTTCTGCTGGATCGCTCATGTATTGGCTTAGCTTTCCGAGGGTGAATGCAATGTCTGGACGTGTAAGAACCATAGCAAACATAAGGCTCCCTATCACTTGCTGGTATTCAGTGATGTCGATTCGGGTGTCGTTGTCAGTGGCTGGCCTAAATGAAGTGTAATCTGCAGATGGAATCTTCTTGTCTCTGTGTTGTTTGCTAGACATTCCAAACTTGTCAAGTACTGCGTGTAGGTACTGTTCTTGATCGAGGTAGATTGTGCGGCGCTTTCTGTCTCGCGTAACTCGTACTCCAAGGATCTTATGAATCTCCCCCAGGTTCTTGGTGTTGAATCTTCCAGAAAGCTTCTCGTAGAACCAATCAATTTGAGCTCGATCTTTTGCAGCAGCAGCAATGTCATCAACGTAGACGAGGATACGGAGTTGTTTTTCTTTGTGGATAAACATGCACGGGTCTGCGAGGCTTTGTACGAATCCCCATGCCAGAAGTTCTTTCTTTATCAACAAGTTCCAGTCGCGAGCAGCCTGTTTGAGTCCGTATAAGCTGCGGAGAACTCTAAGGACGTATCCTTTTTTGACTTCTACTCCTTGGGGTTGCTTAAGAAAGATCTCTTCCTTCAAGTGCGACTCTGTGAATGCATTCTTAATGTCAAAGTGGAAACATTCCAGGTTTTCCGCTGCGACAGTGGCCATAAACAGACGTAAGGTGTCCATGCGGACTGTCGGGGCAAAAGTCTCGTTGTAGTCTGTTCCGTGTGCTTGCGTAAAACCTCTTGCCACAAGGCGTGCCTTAAACCTCTCAACAGTCCCGTCGAGATTCGTTTTGACTGTAAAAACCCACTTTGAATCAACCATGTTCGCGTCTTTTGGCTTTGGAACTTCCTCCCAGGTTCGATTCTCTATTAACGCGATTATCTCTTCAAGTATTGCTGCTTTCCATTGCTTTCCATACTTTGGGTCGTTGATAGCTTGCTCGTGTGTCTGGGGGATCTGGATTCCTGCGATCTCGGTTGCTGCGAAAGCCTTCTCAGATAGTCGTGTTTGCTCTTCTGTAAGGCCAACTTGGGCTAG